GCAGTAACATGGATGGATCTAGAGATTATGATGCTAGGTAAAGTAAATCAGACAGAGAAGGACAAATATCATATGATATCATTTAGATGTGGAATCTAAAATATGACACAAATGTTCTTATTTAAAAACAGAAATAAGTTCACAAATGTAGAAAACAAACCTATGGTTACCAAAGGGGCATGGGGGTTGGGGAGGGATTTATTAGAAGTCTGAGAGTAGCATGTACAAATTACTCTATATAAAATAGATAAACAACAAGGTCCTGCTTTATAGCACAGGGAACTATATTCAATATCCTATAATAAGCCATAATGGAAAAGAAGATGAAAAAGAAAATGTATATATATGTATAAATGAATCATTTTGCTGTTCACCAGAATCTAACACAACGTTGTAAATCAACTATACTTAAATAAAAAGAGAATTAGCTGATAGGTATTTCATATCCTTTATCAAAACAGATCACAAATGGACTAAAGATTTACTGTAAAAATTGGAGCAATAAAAGTACTAGAAGAAAACAGATATTTATGGTATCTTGAGGTGGAAAGGCTTTTCTAAGGATAATACCAAAGGCTAAAGCCATAAAGGAAAAGAATGCCAGATTTGTCTACAAAGAAACACAAAGCTTCATCAAACCAATAAACACAGCAGCCAGACCTGAAAAGAAAACATCAAAAAGGGGAAATTACATGTGACATCAGACTAACAAAGCAATTGTGTCCTTGGTTCTTACAAATCAGTAAGAAACTAAAACAGTGGAAAGGGGGCTGGGGCACTGTCTCAGTTAACTATTGCCGTAAACTTGATGAGTAATAAAGAGACCCAGAGTTCTAGTGTGAAGTGACACTTATTCTCGCTACGACACACAGGGCAACTCAGGCGCTCGGGCTTGGGCTCGGCTGCAGGTGGGGTCCAGGTGCGTCCCCTGTGTTCCTCCCGCTTCCGGCGGCAGGCTGGCCAGGCACGTGCTTCTCACAGGGGTGGCAGGGGACCCGCAAACACTCCCCACCCCCAGGCACATTTCAGACCTTTAGTCACAAATCTTCTGCTGACACTTTATCAGCAGGTCACATGGCCAAGCCTCACCTTAGCTGGCTGTGTAAATAGATTCTGCTGCTAGTGGAAGGGAAGGTGATCAACACTTGACCGAGTGTGTGTGTCCCTCCCACATTCGTACGCTGAAATCTAACCCCCCCCATGCTGGTGGGAGGCGAGGCCTTCGGGAGGTGACTGGGTCGTGAGGGCTCTGCCTCTATAAGAGGCCGAGAGAGCTCTCCTGCCCTCGGCCCTGTGACTACCCAACGAGAAGAGGACATCTGTAACAGGAAGCAGATCCTCACCAGACACTGAACCTGCCGGTGCCTTGGTCTTGGGCCTCCCAGCTTCCAGAGCTGTGAGAAATAAGCTCCACCCAGTCTGTGGCAATTTAGTATAGAAGCCCAAATGGTCTAAGACAGCAGGTATCAGTGGGGCTACTTGGAAAACATGGACAAATGACCAATTAGCGTGTGAAAAACAAGTGCAGCATTATTAACATGGAAAATGCAAGTTGAAACAAAAATACAGTATCCTTTGTGGCCTACCAGGTTGGCAATTGCAGACTAACGACTTCTGGTGTCGATGAGGATCAGAAGCAGGCGGCTCAGGACTCTGATGGTGGACTGTAAACTGGTGTCATCCTCCAGAGGGTGACTGCACGTTTATAACACGTAGTCCTATGCCCTGCAACCTCACTTTTCTATTCTGCAGTTTTACCAGTGTGACAGCCTAACAGTGTGTCACAAGAATATGCACACAAAGTACTCTGTAATAGCAAAACCTAGAGAGAGTCCTAAGCCCAACAACAAGGGATGTTAGCAGGACAGAAATACGTGGCAAAAGCAGCATTTAGGAGACCTTTTTAAAACTGGAGGTGACAAAAGAACTGAAACTAACCCATGTTTCAGGAGATACAGTTTTATGTTGTGCGTATTTGTTGGCATAAAAATACTCACAGAATAGTAGATAGAAACAGAGTATAAAACAATTCAAAAAGTGTGATCAAGTTCTGCTTTAAAAATAAATGTATGTATTACATATGCAGCGAAAGTCTACACAGTGATACACCAGAGACAATGGTGATTTTTGGAGGGCAGGATCATGGACTTCATTCTCTTTTTCACTGGTATATTTTCATCTTTCTATAATAAATAGGCATTAATTTTGTCATAAGAAAAATGCAGTTTTAAAAATGTTAATGATGCTTAAAATAGTTTTAATAACAGGGGGATATTTGCTATAATATTAAGTTCAAAAAGGAAGATACACAGTTGTTGAGACAGTAAGAATAATAGTCATGTAAAAAAATAAGTGTTGAAAAAACCAAAGTAGATGCCTTTGAACAGTGTAAATGATTTTAAGTTACACGCTTTTTATAATTAAAAAATATTTTCTAAAGAAAAATGCTGGGCAAAATAATTTAGGATCCTTTAACAAATTGAATTGTCTCTGTAGTCAGCTGTCAAAGAAAATACATACACAAGACCCATGGTCCTTAAACTGCAGTGACTCCAGGAGGCACCCGGAAGACTTGTTTAAAGGCCTGTTTCCAGTCCCCCAAACCGAGATAACGCGGCAGGCGGTACAGCACTGCCCGGCTGTGATTCCTGCGGCACAGCTGTACTTGCTGATCCCAAATAGCATAATGTGAATGTCTCAACACAGTATCTTCTAATAAGAACAAATTTTTCATTGTCTCTCCAAGTATTATAATTCTGTTCCTCATTTTATCTCTGAATTTCAACCTTTGTGATAATGAGCATTTAAGACTTTGCTTTCTCAGTGGCCAGTTATTCACAAAAGTTCTTCCTGGAGGGAGGGTATAGCTCAGCGGTAGAGCGCACGCTTAGCATGAGGTCCTGGGTTCAATCCCAGGCCCTCTGTTTAAAAAGAAAAGAAAGAAAATTCTATATGGGGCCAGCTCTTGGGAAACAGCATCTTTCAGTTCAGTCCCTCCACTTCACAAATGAGGTTCTGACCCCAGAGAAAGTTTGCAGCTTGCCTGAGCCCCTCGCCTGCTCCCCGGGCTCCTCCTGATTCCCCAGCAGCCCAGTTTTCTCCAACCCCTTCAGCTTTTCAATGGTAATTTGTCACTTAATGGCAAACGTGCTATTCTGACTTAAGTCCACGCTCGTCTTGGGACGGAGACATCATCGGGAACAGACTCTAGACAGAATCTGGGTTTCCCTGTTCCGCTGTGCGCGGACACCTACGCTACTGCCAACGTCCAGACGTCCCCAAACCAACACGCCCCGGGTTAATAAAAGCCCAAAGCTGACTCAACTGTAGTCAGATTTTAAATATAACTTGTGCAGAATTAGCAAGTATTAGCAAGTTCTGAAAACATTTAAAGGTAATTTCTTTCATCATCTAGCATTTCCTCAGGAATTTTGGACGGCTCTTTGGAGAAGACAGCCAACATACCTTACAGTATATGAAATGATGCACAGAAATAACCAAAACCAGTAAGTATAGTTTCCTTGCCAAAACTTTTAGAATCCTTGTACTAATAGTCCTGTATTTTCTGATGAAGCCATGCAAAAAAAAAAGTAATTTATCTGTCTCTGTGACAGTTAACACTTATTGAGCTATATATGCCAGACATTATGCTAATAATTCTATATACATTATCTCACTTATGTAACAACTGAATGAGTTGGGTGCTAGCATTACCCTCATTTTATAGATGAGAAAACTGAGGCTTCGAGAGAATAAAAAGCTTACCCAAACACGTGCTTCTGGCAAGTACTGGAGCCAAGGTTTGAACTGAGCTGGTCTGACACAACGTTCCTGCTCTCCTAACCATTCTGCTACGTGTTTCTCTGACTAGCTGTCATTTATCATTCATCTATCTGTCAATGAATATAATCTCAGAAAAGGGACATCAGAATTGAGTTTTTCCCTATTTTTAATCTTCTTAAAACTTTCCTGTTATGTTTTCATATAATAATTTTAAAATATGTGCGTCATACTTATGCATGTGATTTTTGTGGGTATGACTGCCAACTAAAGTTAGCACTTTGCCCAAATATAGACACACTTGTATCAATGTATACTTAAGAATTTTAAAGTGATGTTTGTTTGCCAATGTATACTTAAGAATTTTAAAGTGATGTTTGATTGTTGTTTGCCAGAGAAAAAAATGTTATATTACATTTTCAATGTAATAGTACATTTAAAATGTGATGATAAGAACAAGAATGGTATCAGTCAGGGTTCGACTGCAGTAAAAAGAAACCACTCTGTTTAAAGAGAAGGTATTTAATACAGGAAGTTAAGGGCTTATAAAATTGAAGGTTGGACAAACCAGCTCTGGACCTGCTTTGTGACGGTCAGCCAGGACTATGTGAAAGCCAGAGGGACTCTCAGGAAAGTTCTGCCTTCTAAAAATTAACTCTACACAGCCTCATTAAAAACCTGCTCACTCTCCTCGGTGGAAGTAACTCAACCCTAGATCTCCTCTTCCCAGTAATGGAAAAACATAACAGTTGAAGCTATCATGGTGCAACTCAAGTGCACAATGCCTGGGCATAGCAATGGACAAATTATAGGCACTGTTATAAAGATTGCCAATCTCCCATACGCTTCATCACAATATTCTTTTATTTTCTTCATAGCCTTAAATATTAATTGAAATCATTTTAAAGTTTTATATATATACATATATGTCTTTTGTACTAAAATTAGGGCCCTCTATCTTGCAGAGACATCCCATTCCCTTGGAGAAGTTCTTAGATGACACATTAGATATTCACCAAGACTTCCTGAATGACTGAATAAATGCTATCTATGCCATTGATTTTCCAGGGAGGTTGTGGTCCTGCGCAGGATAAAGCTTGTGAATGACTGAGTCTACCTCCCTTTTTCTAGCAGGCATAACCCATTTGAAATTGCCTATCCTGCCTGCTTTCTTAGAAACGGTGTTTTCCCCTCCTTTGCCTAGACCCCTCAGCAGCGTAATGGGGCAGGAGGAGGTGAGGCCAGGGTTGGAGGATGGAGAAAAAAGAATTACTTGGGGCCCTTTTCTCCCCCTAGGCTCCAGCTGTTATAGTAATAGCTTAGCAGAGTGAGGACGATTTATCTGGATGATCGTGACCTCAGAGAATAACAAAATGTGGACACTCATCCCAGCTCTGAAACAAATCAGAAACAGCACTCACTCATTCATCCATTCAACAGATACTGACTGAGCATCTACCACATACCAGGCACTTGATTTGTGCTAACAGGAGTGCTGTCTATAGGACCAAGCAGATCACTCCTTTGGATACTTCCTATAATCCTCAATCTGCTAAGTAATAATTATCATAAAGTGACTCCAGCCCACTGCACACACCTGAGAACTGGGTTTGATCAATGAAGGGCAGACAGTGTTAGGATTCCATAGTTTTGGTGTGCTCTTATCCATCTGGAAAACATCACACTAAAGGCTAATTGCTACGTTTTGGCTGACTTTTCTCTGTGCCCTATTTTCTATTTTGCTTGCTTTTAGTAAATCTTACCAGTTTTTCTAACCCCGTATGGTAACCTGATTCCTCCTTTCCTCTAACTAGGGCAAAAGAAGGCACATCGATTCTCTTTTCCTGCATCTTCACAGCCTTCATTCACAGTGGGCCAGGTTCTCAGTAACCTATGTCTAGGTGACCGAGTCTCCGCACTGGTCTCTTGGCGTTGAATCATTCCCACGACAACTTTACACACCACTTGCAGACGTGTATCTGTACCCCTTCATCTCTTTTGAATAGCATTTTGCCTTTTAATATATCTGATTACTCTCAACAAAAGTAAAACTTTCTTGAATAAAGCTCAATAAATGTGAAATTTGAGGTTCATACCAAGTCCACCATATAGGAAGTTCAGTAGAAGTAACGAATCAGCCGCCTCTGCGCGAACGGGCCGTATCTTCCCTGATCACACCGGTGTGTGTGCTCTTCAGTCTGAACACACCTGGAAACTGCCCTACGATATTCTTATATTGTTACTCATTGTTCCACTGGCTTAGGCCTCGTGTCTGGAACTAGAGTTTAAGCCTCTCCAGATGGAAGGGAGACGGGCTACGGTTACGAAGCACTTTCTCGCCCGCGATTTCTGCTTACTCATTGTCCTCCAGGAAGCGGCTCCTCAGCTGGGGCTGAACTCTCTCCCTTCCTCTTTGATTGCACACATTGGCCTACAGACAATGTAAACCTTTAATGAATGGACGTGGCGAAGAATGGGCAGTTTGGGGGAAAGCTCTTGAGAAAAGAAGTGAACTTAGTAAGAGGGTAGCCAAGCGAAGCTGAAGAAGGGGGCCCTTGGGCATTACGCCCGCTCCGGACAGCTGAAACCGGCTGGCATCTCAAGCCTCGGTGGATACCTGCGCTGTCTTTTTAAAGAGGTGAGTGAGGCGTCACCGGCGTGACGGCGCAGGGGCTGCGCGGCGGGCGGGGGCGGCGCGCCCTTTGACCGGC